TTTCTTCATTTCTCTCAAAGAATAAAGATGAAAATGAAACTGATTCTTCATAACACGATATTCTTTCTCTAAAGATTCTCGATCAGCATCTATGATAAGATTAAAGAATTGAAATAGATAATGGCAATGGATATACCATCAAGTCCACCCTCTATCAGTTTTTCAGCTATTGACTCATATTTATGTAGCTTCATCATAGATGTATCAGCTTTATCCAGTAGGATAGATTTGAGTGCGAGATCGTTCACAGCCGTCATTTCTGCCAAAATAGAATTAGCTCACAAATTGACTCTTATTGTCCTACTTTCTGCCCGAACACTAGACATCCGTACAAGCAGCTCTATAAGTTCTTTTTGTTCTCGCGTAGTGGCTAAAGCTCGAAGCCGGATTTCGATTTGTGAACTTATTTCGTGACCTTTGACCACCGATTTTTCGAGCAAATTACGCGATTTATTCAATTCCATCAACTTTTGGTTCTAAATTGTGTTACTTCAACTATTCGCCAGGCGCATAGTTTTTTTTTTTTTGAAAAAAAAGTCAAAGTTTTTAAAAAATCCTATTTCATTCTGCTCAATTCTTCAGAATTGAATCACGCAGGTTTTCGATGCTGTGAAATAGGATAACTATTTGCAAAACTACTCACAATGTCCTCAACTTCACTTTTTAAGCGTTCTATACTTTCTGCTGTGCGACCTCCGCCTTGTTTTTCCCAAGCATCAATTATGCCTTTCTTAGCAGCTGCACTCATTTCAAGGCTGTAAAACTCTTGGTTTGCAACACTTAAGCGTTGTCTAAAAGCATAAACTCATTTATAAAATTAAATTAATAAATTATTCATTCACCTTAAAGTGTCTTGTTTATCCACTATATCCATGAATTGTGCTTTAAGCTGGTTGAACAGGTTTGAAAATTCGTATTTATTCTGTAAGAAAAAGAATTATAAAAATGAAATAATCATAAAAATATGATTAATATACAAAGAATCTGATCTGATAACTGTATATTACTTAAAAAACTATTTAAGATACAAACCTTCACGAACTTATCATTCTGTTTGCGATTATTGTCAATTGTCTGATAGTTGTCATTCCATCGATTATATGTTGCTCTTGAATAGTTATTGTCAGCCACTGAAAGAACATCATCATCATTGCCAATACTTTAGTATTGTTGTTGTTGTTGCTTAATATATCATTTCTGTTCAATCATTGCAAAACATAGCACTACCACATACAATTTGTGGTTGGATTGATATTATCATAACCACATTCGATGAAATGTAACATAATACTCCTCAAATACCAAATTACAGGATATAAGCATCTCGAATTTCTTTTATAGCAAGTCAAATGCATATAGCTAACGTGGAGGCAGTCAGATGACAGTGTCACACGTCTCTCCAATGACATACCCAATGCAATAAATAATTTTTTTTTCTTCTCCCTTTCTCTCAACCATAATTATTCATTAATATTCCCAATTTTGCAACATTTTTCGTATGATCTCAACATGTTCTCCCTCTTACACAGAGTTGGATTTTAGCATCTTCATTATCACGAAAATGATGTGTTCGAACGAAGAAGCAAAAATAGTTATTCAGGCTTATCGTTGAACATTCTTGTAATAGAAAGGATGTAAATAGCTTCTATCAATCACATCATCATTGAGTTTCATCGATTTTAAGATTGAATTCTCAACCTTCTGCTATCACATGGTGGGAATATGTAGCTAATTCTCATTCATTAGGCAAAACTTATTTTTGCTTTTCTTCATGCAATACTGATTCAATAGATGGCTCCCGAAAAATTAATAATTTCTGCTCTCACTCCTTACTCCCTGTCTTCTCATTCTTCCGAAAATTATTCATATTTTCTAGAAATGTAATCAATTCTTGAATAATTCTTATTCATTTCATTCATTTATCAAGAGACCTACGTTGTGTTGTAGATGACGCATGCGCCAATGACGATTTCGTTCCTCTATTCATTTTTGTAATATAACTCATATCAACTGACGCTGGTCGATAGAGGTTCGTCTGTAAATATATCTTTCTATATATACAGTTTTTTGTTTTCTCTTTTTCTTTTTCATATCTATCTGTATCATACCTTAAGTACGATTGTGTTAGCTCGAGCAGCATACACGAGCGTATTGTAAGTTTCTTCAAAATGACCACTAGCTTGAGTCACATGAGCGATCATGCATGTTTTAGCACTTCCACCTAAAACAAAGTATTTACCATATACATTCATTTTTTTTCTTCCTCTTTTCTATATAATAGGAAAGAAAAATGAAAGAAGAATAAAAACCTAATGATTCTTTGAGCAGACGCGTCAGTTTACTATCTCGATAGTTTATAAATTTAGTTTTAGCTCCTAAACATATCATATAATAAACTTTAAGTGTCTTAAACTAATCCTCACCAGAGCTAAGAGAATTTATAACATTTCCCAATGCTAATAATGATCTGTTAATAGCGGCTCCTTCTTTAAGACGTAATCCTCTATTCTAAATATTATAATATTATAAATATCATATATATATATATATATATATATATTATAATCTTTACTATGCTATGTTATGCTATATGTAATAGTTAAGAATGTGAATAACAACTTATACCTTTGTGTTTGATGCTCTTTCTGATCCAGCCAAATCAATCATGAATAGTTTCGAATATACTCTTCGCTTTTTCATTAAATATACCTTAAATATATATATATATATAGCTAGTCCATGTTCATGATATTCCACTCTTGTTTAACTATATCATATAATATAATGTATATATATATATATATATTTTATATATATATATATATATATATAGACATTATATTATATTATAATATATTATTT